ATGAAATACAACTAGAAACCATCAATTCCTAGACCAGCACCAGCAGACACTGCCCAGCATGCATTGACTGTCAGTAGGTTAGTATCGCATGACTAATTCCCACGAAATCTTTGTTGTGCCGGAGCCAGATGATTGTTAATCTCCAGCACCCCACTAGTGCCTCACGGTCCATGGACTCATAAACCTTGACATCAAACCATGTACTGTTATCTGCCGATAGTTTGCTTGGTTTCTCTATGGCAGCGAATTTTGTAAGTTAGATTGGCGACTCTGTGATTTAGCAGGGAAAGTAACAATATACATTTAAAAGCATAGTGCTAAAAGTTTAGCGAAATTTCCGGCAGTTACTTTCAACGCTTTTGGGCGAATGCCTTTAATACCAAGCAACCTGTACTCGCACAAACACATCAGGCAAATCCGCATATCCGTGGGGCTAAACTATAAGTGGCTAAATACTGATGGTAGGGTGATCTACATGTGGTTTAATTTAGATGATAGTTCACTTTGTAAGGTACGGCTAATTAGTTGCCAACGAACGCTTTCTGCCAATTGTGCCATTTGCAAGTAAGATGATGAAAACCGCGGACATAATCAGGCTACTCTCATCTAGGATAGCGTAGCCCCACATATGATCTCTGCGAAAAGACATTGTCAGAAATAACAACAGTTCTATTTTTACACATCTTTTCCACAGGTTGCATTAAATGACTTCAACTGATTGTTTGAAAATAAATGCCCTGCCGAAGTGGAAAACACCGATGGACAGAAAGAGCAAATTGCATCGTAATAAAAATAGCGCAACCAGAGCCATGCAAGCGGAACTTACTTGTGAAAACCACTACTTTGCAGTGGCCCATCAGAGATTGATGCACACTGTACACTGTTAACGACAGTGTGGTTTCACTTCCTCACTTGACGCAACTTTGTTTGCGCATAGGTCTGCATGCTCTGTCAAGTCAGGTCAAAGTCCAATGACAAGTCCCTCACCACCTGGATGCGTGAAATTAACCAATAAACAAATTTACAAAGCTGTTTCAGCTTGTTTAACCGCTTACATCTCAATTTTTCTCAACTTATTGTAATCACGATTGCTTTTGTAAATTTAATTGTCTAGCATTTTGACAACTGGGGGTTATTCTATTTCCACACCAATAATTAACTAATTATTTCGTTTATTTTCCATATTACAATAAGTATAGAGCTATTAATTGTTCATCAGTTTGTACAGCTTACGGCAACTAATCTGGAAAGCGTTAATCTACATATAATGACTAGTGTCGGTAACTAAAACTAGTTAGGATTGGTGAGCGCAATGTTGAAACTCTCCACTTTGGTTACAGTCCCAGTACTCTGAACGGCAGAGGCTGACTTCATAATCGGTCAAACCTACATTAGAAATTTGGTGTCGCAGTCCAACACAAATAGCGGGTATGTCAAACCCCACCATGCAACCTGTAACTAGTAATTCCATGTTTTTGGTCATGCGGTTTGGAACCCTACCAACTTTCTTTTGGGTTACTGTGATACAGACAGTGATTACTAGCTAGTCGATTTACGTAGAAATAAACGCGATGTCATCATCAGTATGACAGCAAGAACGACCGCGTTGGAATAACATTTGTAACTTATCCTACCCAAATAACACGACAGTAAACTGCGAACTGTTTGCAAACAAGTAACATGAGTAAGTCTAGTAACAACGCCAGTAATCACTGAACAACCACAAATTTAGCTAATCGAGCAAGGTGGGAATGTTAGAAAAAATATAAACCAGGAAGCTTCCAACAACTGTGAGTTATATCTGCATTAATTACAAACACTACATCAGTTCCATTTAATAGGTCTAGTTTTGATCGGCAATGTGGTCATCATGGTTATTGTACCAAGGTGATCTTGGTTACAGAAACCTAGAAGTATAAGATATAGAATCAGCACTACGAATCGGAATTTCATTGTTTACTCCCAAATGTTGTGAATGAAAAATGTGACAATGAGGATACAGTTTTCGTCATTCGTTTTAGAAAATTCGCTGTTTTGTCGAACTGGCAAAAGCATACACAATTTGTGTTCCGCCGACCAACACTCTCGCTGGGATAGCATCAGACTTACAATATTAACATTGCAGTAGGTAAGCCAATATGAATAAAACATAAATTTTGGGGAAGCCGTAAGCGTCAAACGAATAAAGCGAAACCATATTGGTCGGGGGAAATAAATAGTAACACATTGCGGCACAGTAGCTGAGGTGTTCCCCAATTCTAGCTAACGTGTATGAGAATGATGATGACGAAATAGTAACACATGACAGACTGACTGGTGGTTCTACCTCCCTGTTGATTCTCGCTCACCTCGGACAACAGAAGAGTATAACGGGTTCTAATGTTGTGACACCCTACCCTGCGGCCGCACTGCAACTCATCTCTCGCTTTGCCCTCTGTGG